GACTCTCGGTAGTGAGAGCCCGGGTTCGAGACGCTCCGGCGCTCGATATTTGAGACTACTGACGGAGATGGTCTGCGGTTGGTGGGAGCAGCCGCAGCCAGTTGAAGTCAGTTGAGTGGGACAGGCCGTGTCCGGCTTTGAAGGGCACGTTAAACTTTGGCATCTAAATCCTCCCGTTACCCAGAATTGCACGATCGGACGGTAGGGGTCGGGGTCTACGCAACAAGCTCTGCTTAGCGTGGGCTCCGGCTCTGTCAATCCGTCCATTCAAACATTCGAGCTAAATTTATATAAAAAAATGTTGGCGACAGAACAGAATTATTGTGAGCGGAGTAACATGAGGTAGGAGGGCGTGTTGGAGAAACAGGAAAACGACCAAAACAGAAAGAAGGTAGAGGGAGAGAGAAAGGGAGGGGAAGGAGAGACTTACGAGACGTCGGCATAGCCACCGGTCCTGGCAGCGTCATCATCCTCGTGAGGACGACGGACTGGGCGCCAGACTGATCGTCGGGCTGGGCGTCAGACAGATCGTCGGACTGGGCGTCGGACTGGGCGCCAGACTGGGCGCCAGACTGCGCGCCGGACTGGTGGCCCCCTGCGAGGCTACCGGTCTCCGACACGGTGGCAGCCTCGGAACCATCTGGAACTGTCCGCGCACAAAATCACTTGTAACAAGGGACCACAAGCCGACCGAACCATTCAACACGTTAGCCTGTTAGAAACACTCGGAAAAAAATACAATATAGAGACAGGAACAAAATATGGGGTACGGAGCACCGGAAACGCATTTAATGTTCATGGACGTACGCAACAGTTGGAAATGTGTGCTACACCATTGTATTAATCATAAAAAGATAGCAATGTTATACTCGTCCGGGCCGGGACATTAAGAAGAGCTGAAAATGTCCCGTAGCTCAGTTGGTAGAGCATTGGACTCTCGGTAGTGAGAGCCCGGGTTCGAGACGCTCCGGCGCTCGATATTTGAGACTACTGACGGAGATGGTCTGCGGTTGGTGGGAGCAGCCGCAGCCAGTTGAAGTCAGTTGAGTGGGACAGGCCGTGTCCGGCTTTGAAGGGCACGTTAAACTTTGGCATCTAAATCCTCCCGTTACCCAGAATTGCACGATCGGACGGTAGGGGTCGGGGTCTACGCAACAAGCTCTGCTTAGCGTGGGCTCCCGCTCTGTCAATCTGTCCATTCAAACATTCGAGCTAAATTTATATATATAAAAAAATGTTGGCGACAGAACAGAATTATTGTGAGCGGAGTAACATGAGGTAGGAGGGCGTGTTGGAGAAACAGGAAAACGACCAAAACAGAAAGAAGGTAGAGGGAGAGAGAAAGGGAGGGGAAGGGGAGACTCACGAGACGTCGGCATAGCCACCGGTCCTGGCAGCGTCATCATCCTCGTGAGGACGACGGACTGGGCGCCAGACTGATCGTCGGGCTGGGCGTCAGACAGATCGTCGGACTGGGCGTCGGACTGGGCGCCAGACTGGGCGTCCGACTGCGCGCCGGACTGGTGGCCCCCTGCGAGGCTACCGGTCTCCGACACGGTGGCAGCCTCGGAACCATCTGGACCTGTCCGCATACAAAATCACTTGTAACAAGGGACCACGAGCCGACCGAACCATTCAACACGTAAGCCAGTTAGGAACACTCGGAAAAAACAATACAGAGGTAGGAATTGAAATATTGGGTATGGAGCACCGGACACGCATTTAACCCAAGCCGGCACAGGATATTTTGCGTCCTTCGACGGCACAAGGGGGGTTGGTACGACCCCCCCCCCCCTGCGTTTGACTCCTGATCGAGCTAGAGCTTCGCGGAAAAAACGAGCGTGCTGCCCGTCACGAGACGAAGACGATAATACCCAATTTTAAGGTCCTAGTCATCGGTTCGCCTTCCAGATCAGGTCAATGACCCAAAAATCGGGAAAATCGAGACCTGTAAAAAAAAAAACTAATCTAGAAACATGTAAAACTCGAAAATTGAACCGAGGTCACCAAACGTCAATGACCTGACCTGACGTTCAGGTGACCTTGACATCCACCCCAATGTATGGGAGCAACATCAAATCACATGTTTGAACGTTTGAAACCACGAGAAGCTTGCAAACGCGCGGCTAATGCGAGCCGACATACACCGAATCGCGATTCCGGCCAGACATGGTCTCGGAAAGTAGATCACAGGTCAAAGATCATACGGGTCAGGGTCATGAAATTTTCAATGTAGGTGTCAATTGATCAATGCGAGGGTACTGAAAGTTTCGTCACGATCGACCGCTTTTAAAACGAATTATTCGCGAAAACCCTTAGGGGAGGGGTTGCATCCCCCCTGTGCCGGCGAGGGTTAATGGTCATGCACGTACGCCACATGTGGAAACGTGTGCTACACCATTGCCTTAATCATAAAAAGACAGTAATGTTACCCTCGTCAGGACGGGACATCGAGAATAGCTGAAGATGGCTGGCGACAGAACAAAAATATTGTGAGAGGAGTAAGATGAGGTAGGAGGGCGTGTTGGAGAAACAGGAAAACGACCAAAACAGAAAGAAGGTAGAGGAGAGAAAGGGAGGGGAAGGAGAGACTTACGAGACGTCGGCATAGCCACCGGTCCTGGCAGCGTCATCATCCTCGTGAGGACGACGGACTGGGCGCCAGACTGATCGTCGGGCTGGGTCAGACAGATCGTCGGACTGGGCGTCCGACTGGCGTCCGACTGGGCGTCCGACTGGCG